AGTTTCTAAATCTCGGCAAAAAAATGTCAGCGATAACTTCAATAATACTAAATACTGTGAGGATTGAAAAAAATCTAGTACGTAAAGATGTAACTAAAATAAATATCTATAAAAGGAGAATATAAAATAAAGACAAAAAATTATCTTATCCAACGCTTTTCGTCCTCTGATGGAATTTATCAAAGCAAATGTAAGAATTTTATTTTGCAACAAGGATTCATCGACTACAGTAAAAATATTCGTTTTCCAATTTTTTTTTAATTTCAGAGACGCTCATGAATATTCATCAGGTTAACTGTTAGGTTTAAACAAATTATGGAGGATGCTAAGTGATATAAATCAATTTCTAGTTGTTGAATATGTTATGCAATTAATATTTAAATTATTTTAGTTTGTGACTCATTTATATATTATATATTTTAAATAAAGGAAGATTCTGAATGTAATCGTTTTCCATTAATTTTTTCACATTTTTATAGTCATACGGTAGAGCAATGGATAGTGGCTCGGATTGAGGAATCGGAGACCCGAGTTCGAATTCCAATCGAATCCATTGCATTCATTTACGGGAAAGGTATGAATCCTCTTATTCACGCCCCACCCTCAGCTATGTGCAAATAGCATGACAGACCGGGTTCTTGGTTGGGAACTGATCTACCGCAAAAAGAAATGGTAACCTACTGCGGGAAAAAATCTGCCCTGTGAGTCATGTATCAAAAGCTACATGATCGCCTAAGCGTGTGTCCCGCATGGCACATAACTAACTGATGTTGGCTTGGAAAATAGTTATTCTTTCAGGAATGAAGATATTTGAAAAAATCTCTGGCGCCTGTTTAATATCGGTAAGATTTGATAGCGCCATTCTCGAGAATATTTCGTCTAAATAAGTTACCTTCTCTTTTAATAAGTGTGACATTCTTTAGATCAAAATTGTGTTTTTTTTTTTAAAGTAAGGTTCACCCTGTGCAAGGCCCGGGAGCCACTCGAGGTAGAGGCTTACATTAAGAGGCAGTTTATGCGAATAGGAAAGGAAGACAACGGTTCACCATAGACTTGAACAGGTTAAGACTGTATTGGTCGGGAAAGCAGTGGTTCCAGTGAAGAAGCTGTTCAAGTGAAAATTATTTCTCACCAATGGAATACGAAGGGAATGTGGGTGGTTTACTACAATGTAAGCGGCAAGGCGTGTCCTAGCCGAGGAGGTTAAACCTGGCGAAACCAAGGGATGAAGTGCGTCCGAGCATTTGCCATGGAAGTAGCGATAGATAAGTGTGAGTTTTGCCACATCTTCGCTTGTCAGAGAGATTAGAAAGAATTTGTCACCCACAAGGACTCGAAGACGTTTTTGGACTCTATCGAGACTGGAAAGTGAGGAAAGGACAGCTCTCGCCCAAATATGACAACAGTACGACATTTTAGTCCTGATCTGGCTCTTGTAAAGGTAGAGGAAGACATACGGAGTCAGGTACTTGCTGGGGTGGTACAGGGAGCCGACTATTTTTTCTTGCATTTTTTACATTTGAATTTATTTCTAATGCGTTTGATAAATTGTTGTGTATAAAATCCTTTTTCTGTTCATAGATATCTGTTAATTTTCTGCAAGTTTCCCCAATGCATGGTGAAGAGCAGTTGTGACAGTATATATATATATATATATATATATATATATATATATATATATATATATATATATATATATATAGAAAAATATATACCGAAAAAACAAACAAAAATCCTTATATACAAGTTATCTGTTTGGATAAGTCTTGTTCTTATGTACATCGTCTTTTGTCATGTTGTATTGATAATGTTATAATTTATGAATATGTCCTGAAGATGGTTTATTAGACCGAAACGTCCGACGTTGACATATTAACATTAAAACAGCATAATTGTATATAAGGATTTTTGTTTGTTTTTTCCGTATATATTTTTCTGCTCATATCTATAATAATTTTGGAAATATAATTAATATATATTTAATTCTAATTCGCCTGTTTTAAGAACTTGTGTGAGCGTCTGTCTGTCTCGGTTTGTTTTGGGGAATTACTACGTTTGTTTGGGTTTGGCGTTCAACATCGGAATGTGTTACAACTGCAGACATATAGATTTTTTAATATTAGGGTACTATAGTAGACTGTTTCTGTAATTCTGCGCTGATACCGGTGTTATAAGCTTTGTGTGCATGTACGTGGCGGCTTATGTACGTGTGAACATGTACTTCTTTGTACTTACGCATATGCAGGTTTGTGGGTAGGTAGGTGTGTGCGTCAGAGATAGAGAGAGAGAGAGAGAGAGAGAGAGAGAGAGAGAGAAATGGAAAGAAAGAGAGTTTATATGCGCACGCATGTTTGAATGCACGGTAAATTTCCGCTACTAACGAGCTGAACATAAACATCGAGACAAGAAAGAAAGAAAGAAAGAAAGAAAGAAAGAAAGAAAGAAAGAAAGAAGGAAAGAAAGAAACAAACAAACAAACAAACAAAATAAAACGAAAGAATCAAAGAAAACAAATACACAAAAAAGGTAAAAGAAAAAGAAAGAAAAGGTTAAAGAACGAAAGATAAAAAAAAGGAAAAATGAAAGAAAAGAAAGAAAAGAAACAAATAAACGAAAAGAAAAGAAGAAATAAAAGAAAGAAAGAAAGAAAGAAAGGACAGAAGAAAGTAAATAAGACGAAAGAAAGAAAAAAGAAAGAAAGAAAATAAATAAATAAAACGAAAGAAACAAAGAAAACAAATATACAAAACAAAAAGGTAAAAGAAAAGGAAAGAAAAGGTTAAAGAACGGAAGATTAAAAAAATGAAAACGGAAATCGAAGAAGGAAAGAAACAAATAAACGAAAAGAAAAGAAGAAATAAAAGAAAGAACGAAAGAAAGAGAGAGGCAAAGAAACAGAAAGAAAGAAACGCATTGAAAGGAAACGACAAAGAAATGAATGGAAAGAAACAGCAAACATTATTGAAAGTTTCGAGTACTTACGCTTATGACGGATGTGAGAAACGGCCCACAAAGTTAGTCTCAGGTACCCACAAACAATGTGACAAGTCGCACAAATCACACGAAATCACTGATTGCAAAAGATGTGCAATCGTTATTGAGTTTTTTAGAAAAAGAAATACTTGTTTCAAGTAATAAAATAATATTTGTTTTTGTCTGCGTTAGAATAAAACAGTTTATAGAGACTGGAGTGTATTTCAAGTAGCAGTAGCAGTCGCCGTATTATATGGTTTAATGTTTGTGAATGGCAAAGTTCAACACCATAAAAAGTTTGCCTTTTCGTCTTAGCCTCGATGTCAACGGAAGGAGAAATATTAGTAACACTATTAAGAGAGGATGAAGAAGAAGTGGAAAAAAACTTAAAAGTTAATTGATACGCCTTTTGTATTGTTTGACACAGATATTGTTGACGAACTTTTCTTTCTCTAACTGATTATAGTGACGACAATTGCCATGAATCTAACAAACCCACACACTTTATCTATGTCTTTGACTCGTTACGACATTGGTTCTTTGACTTATATTCTGTCTCTTTCTTTTTACTTCCCTCTTTTTTTCTTCTATTTTCTCTTTCTCCGTCTCTTTCTGTTCTCTGTCTATATTTCTGTCTTTCTTGTTTTCTTTGTTTCTCTTTCTTTTTAGTTCTTTCTCCCTTTTTCTTTCTTTCTTTTTTCTAACTATTCTGTCTCCTCTTTTCCTTTTCTCTCCTTTTTCTTGACATATTCTAGCTCTCTTTCTTGCTTTTTTTTCGCCCTAAATCTTTTTCTCTTTTTATTTTTAGCTTTATTTTTTCTTTCTTTCTATATATCCAGCCTTTCTCTTTAGTTTTGTTTCTCTTTCTTTATCTTTCTGTCTTTTTCGTTCTTTCTTTCTTTCTAGATTTTTGTTTCTTTTTTGTTACTTGACTTTTCATTCTGTGTTTCTTTTTCCGTCTTTCTTTCCCTTTTCTTTGTCTTTTCTCTTTCTTTCTTTTTCTATGTCTCTCTTTTTCTTTATTTCCCTGTCTTTCTCTTTCTTTTTTGCATTTTTCGTTCTCTCTAACCTTTTTCTCACTTCTTTCCTAATTTGCGTTTTTACATTCATTATTGTTACTGTCTTTCTCACTCATTATCATTGCATTCCTAGTTTTCTTTCTTTCTTTCATTCTCTCTTTCTTTTTCTTTTTCTTTATATCGCTTTTTTCTTTTCTTTTCATTTGTTGTTTCTATCTTTCCCTCTCTCTCTCTCTCTCTCTTATTCTCTCTCTCTCTCTCTCTCTCTCTCTCTCTCTCACACACACTGTTTCTCTTTTTTATTATTGTTTCCTTTTCTTTTCTTTTACACTCTACATCCGACTGTAAGACTTCTGATCGGGAGATTGGAGATGTTGAAGAACGTGGAATCAACCCTTAATTGCTGTTGTTCCTAGGTCCACCCTGACCCGGGGTGGTAGCACCTGTTAGGGTCCCAGCTATGAGCAAATAGTGAAATACAATGAAATGGAAAACAAAACACTATAAAAGCATAAAAATACATTTTTATAGTAAAATGACCAACAATACCTATTTATAATAAAATGACCAGCAATCATGGATTAAAAATAATTAATTTTTTCTTTTGTTTTTCAATGTTAAATATTCTCGATATGAGACATTACTAACACAGAAAATGTCTCATATCGAGAATATTTAACATTGAAAAACAAAAGAAAAAATTAATTATTTTTAATAATATGTGGAAATCTCCGCTTTTACCTGAAGACGGTCACGAGACCAGAAACACGTGTAGTAAAATTATGTAAAACAAAGCATAATATTTTTTCTAAATAAATCCTCATTACAACCAAAAACGTTTGCGGCACCTCTCTTCTCTTCTTTTTAATATACATACTTTTCTCTCGTTGGAACCACTACATTATATTTCTTTTATATATATATATATATATATATATATATATATATATATATATATATATACCTTAAGTGTTAGGACCAAGGAAGAACAACACGAACACAAGAGTA